TCCGTTCCCAGCCCTGGACACGCTCCAGCCCCTCGGTGTCCCCTGCAGGCAGGACGTACCTCGTATCCGAAGGTCAGGGCCATGATGGTGATCAGGAACCCGAAAAACGCCTCCAGCTTCCTCAGGCCTGCGAGGAGGAAAAGGCCCCTCGTCAGCAACCCGAGAAACCCTCAATCCCAGACTGGATTCCCGGAATTCTGAGGGGGAAATTACCGTATTTGTCGAGGAAGAGGAAGACGAAGGTGTCGGCGATGGTGATGAGCACCCCGCCCCAGAGCGGGATCCTGCGGGCGACAGCGGGGTCAGAGCCCACCCAGAGTCCCAAACACCCTTCCTTTAGGGCTTTTTTGGGGTGGATCTGCCTGTCCAGGGGTTCTCCCCAGCCTGAGCAGGGGTTGGGATGTGCAGGGCTGTGTCCTGCTCCGTGGGAGGTGACTCTGTGAATCCTGAGGGAAACCCCCTGTTCCAGTTCCCGTTCCCGCCCTCCCAGCTCAGAGGACGCCTTCCCAGGAATCCTTCATGGGATGTGGAGCCTGGCAGGAAGCTGCACCCCAGCTGTGCACCAGGCAGGGCTAAACCCCCCCCCCAGAGCCTGCGGGTGCCACGGTGGAAATGCAGCCCCGGGGGCTGAGTCAGCGGCGAGGCCTCGGCTGGTGGGGGTGATTCACATCCTCAGAGCTGATTTAGGGGATTTATGGGGTGATGGTTCCCCTTTCTCCTCGTTTCCCCACACCACCCTCACTCACTTGCCCACGGAGAGCAGGTTGATGGCGATGGCCGAGCCGATGACCTCCTGCATGTCGGAGCCGATGATGGCGAGTTCCACCATCAGCCACAGGATGATCCGAGGGAACTGGGGGGGAAAGAAACACCCAGTGCCGTGAGAAACGGGGGGAAAACGTCCCCTCCCACGGGGCTGTGGGGATCCTCTCCCTGCCCTGGCTGTTCAGGGTCGTCCCCACAGCTGCCCTGGAGCTGCAATCCCAGCTCCTGCGGAGGATCCGGGTCACTGTGCCACCCCAATTCCTGCCCTCAACATTCCCACTGCCAGAGCCAGACGTGGCATCTCCCTGTGTGGACACACCGGGAAGGAGCCCCGGGAGATGTTCCAGGTGGGATGAGGAACACTCAAGGGCACAGGGATGGGACATTCCCAGTGTCCCCACAGCCCTTCCCAGTGCCCAGGGATGGGACATTCCCAGTGTCCCCACAGCCCCTGCCCAGGCCAGCCTTGCTCATCATCATCATCATCATCATCATCATCATCATCATCATCAGACCTTCCTTGCACAAGCCTGAGGAATTCCCAAGCAGAGGATGGAACAGCCAGGGAGTGGTTTTGACCTAAAGGGCCGTTTCCTCGGGATTATTTCAGTATTCCTGCCCCAGGGGGCAGCTGGAATCCCGGATTTTATTCCTGACTGGCAAATGCCAACATCCCTCCCCCCCACCCTCCTTGTGCTTCCCAACCTGGGACAGCACTGAGGGACCCAAAACACCCTCCACGTGCCCCATGAACAGCCCAGGCCCTCAACGAGCCCTCCTGGCACCACCAAGGACATGGGGGGGGGTTCACCCACCTTTTGACCTCCCCCCCATCTCCTCCAGCCCCCCAGCACCGTTCCCAGCACCTCCTGAGGACCCAGGGGAGGGTGTCACCCATCATCTGACCCCCCCATGACCCCCACCCTCCCAGGACTGTCCCAGCACCCCTTGGCACCCCTGAGGACCCAGGGGGAGGGTGTCACCCACTGACTGAGCCCCTGAGGACTGTTCCAGCACCCCCTGTCACCCACCAACTGATCCCCCCATGCCCCCCACCTGTCCAGGACTGTCCCAGCACCCCCTTGGCACCCTCGGGGGTGTCACCCACTGACTGAACCCCCCAGGACCATCCCAGCACCCCTTGGCACCCCTGAGGACCCGGGGGAGGGTGTCACCCACTGTCTGACCCCCCCATGCCTCCCACCTGTCCAGGGCTGTATCATCACCCCTTGGCACCCTTGAGGACCTGGGGGAGGGTGTCACCCACCATCTGAGCCCCCCAGGACTTTCCCAGCACCCCCTGGCACCCTGCTGGCCCCCGAGGAGGTGTCACCCACTGTCT